CTATGGGGAGGACTTTTTTCATTAGAATAATTTTCGAAATATGCGTTATTTCGAACAAGAAAAGTTGATTTTTATTTGCAAATATGTGGAAAATTGCCATCTGGTGATCATACCCAATGTTTCAAATTTCAGAATAATAGCTAGAGAAACAAAGGAGTCAGTGTTACACAGTATGTTGGTTCCTTAAGCCGTGATGATATAAAATCCAATTTTTTCAAAAAATGTCCATCAGTTCAAGATATCTGACCGTCTCAGTTACCTGGAAGTTAATTGAAAGAAGTGTTTTGGGTATCTCTTATATTATCATAATTTTACTCACAATACATCATAATTGAAATAAAAAAACAAAAACTTATAGTACAATACCAAATTATATAAAATAGAACAAAACCACTTCGAATTCAAAGTTATAACACACTAATAATTATATAAGTAATACTTAAAGCTTCCACATTAATAATATAATATTCGATCTCTTTAAATTAATATTTACATTTTTCCTATGTACATTCCTGGAAATCATCTTATTTCAATTTCCACCAATCCATGTATTTAGATTATTATTAATAAGCAACAATTCTTTACTAAAAACATTTTTTCCCTAATAATTTGGCACTCAACAATCAAAATAGTTTTGACCAATCTGCGAAAATATACAGTGAATCAAACAAATAATTTGGAGCAATAGCTAAAATTTGGATGAACAACAAAATATTCTATAATTTATTTCAATTACACTCAACAAAAGTACTACAAGCCTTGTTAATAATTACCATTCTAATGATTCAATTACAATTACAAACAATTTAGGAGCTATAAACTTCAAGAGAACATATAGTGTGCATTTGTTTTACTGAAAAAAAAATAGTTTTGTTTTTGTTAACTGTGTACTGATAATCGAATGTTAATTCATAGAACTTGATGGTCAATCGAACCTGTTTTATTTTGATGAAAATTAACTGTGAAAATTTCTCCATAAACTCCAAATAAAGACAAGGCACAAAAACACATTTATCGAAATAAATGTTTCTAGTGTCATCTTGTAATAACAATTTCATTTTTTAGAATTGAAATAGCTCCGAAAATATCATCACATTAATAATTGTTACCTATTCATTGTTTTTGGAAAACCAAATTTATTATATTATTATAGGCACTGAAAAGTCCTGTCATTTTCGATTCAGAATAGGCAAAAACATTGACATCGGTTAAAAAAATGTAGTACAGAATATTTGACAAGTACTCTTACAAACTTCAAAGGGCGAATCTTTGACTTTGAAGCTCATTGATTTCTTGTACAATAACAAACTAGGATTACTTGGAGTATTGATGATGATGACCTCAATTATTCACTTAATATCGGCGCCGTTTTGAAAGTCTTCACCCAATAGTTAGTCAAAGATTCACCCTTTAAAATGTGTAGGAGTACTTGATAAAAACCATGTATTCTTTACTAGACCCAATGTTTTCTTCAGTGAGTCTATTTTTTATCACCGAAATTTCATTTGCTAGAATCAAAAATATTCATCTGAATAACCTTTCAAGTCTTCAGCTCCAGAAAGTTCTCAAGATGCTATAAAGCTTAGTTTCAGCAAAGATGATGCATATTCTAGATAGTCAACGCCTGTGTGAAAATTGCCAATGCTCTGATAGGATCGAACAGAACGGCAGCTAATATCGGCTGTGCTGATTCGTTGACCAAATATTAATATAGGAGTTGCCCATTCCTACATTTACGGTGCGTATCTAGGGTTTTGTATTATCTTTGGTTTCAGAATGATAAAATGTTTCCAATTGTCGGCATATTGAAGTAGAAATCTAGTTACCTGATCCTTCTGGTCTGTTGAGTGCAGGACAATCATTTTTGCATTTCATATACCGAATATCATTATCAAGTGTTTTGCATTAACAATAGGAGCGCCTCGAGCAAGGAATCTCCACCACGTACACGGACTGCAAACGAGCCGACACCACGCGGCGTATGTTCTTTGCAGGAGCTACGCCAAATGACTTTGGAAGGACTATACTCGAACCCAAAATGGGTGGCCAATTATTGCAAATCTGAGAGATATAGAAGTATGAGGAGTTGCCGCCTGCTACAGTATCTAGTTAATAATAACAGATATATCATAATGACAACTGCATAAATAGCACTCCAACTCCAACGGCATAAACAGGATCATCCTTCAATGCCAACCTTTCGATGTTTTGTTCGCTGGTCAAGCGTCTCACAAGCCAATTTTGTTGGCCTGTCTGCTAACCGGTTAATTGATTCATGAATGCCCTAGATGCAATTAACAAAGTAGTTAAGTATAGTGCCCAAGATAAGGAGGGCCAGTAAGGGTTGAATAGGAAAAAAGTTGCGCAAGTGAAGGACCAACAAAAAATCACTGACCTATTTTTGTTTTTCAGTTATTTCCAAATATTTAATTTTTCAGGCCTGGGAATATAGGTAACAACTCGGAAATACAAGTAATATTCTCGGATTCGTGGGGAATATAGGCAATAAACAGAAAATGAAAGCAATGACGATTTAATTGCGCAATTAAAAAAAATACTGGAGATATATTCAATATTTCCTGAAAATATTGCCGATTTGACAATACCTGTACATTTTCAACCAGTAGTTGACCCCTCGCATTATTCAAGCGGTATTTGAATTTCTCCAAAATGATGAAGCTCTAGACAATTTCACACTAGCGGAAGTTCAGGACTGTTAGTTCCAGCAGGATGGTGTACCTGCAGATAACTCAAGAGCTGCTAGAGAATATCTCTCACTCAGATCCACAAGAAGAGTGATTAGCACGTACTCTGTAACACCCTAGCAAGCTCGTTCACCCGATTTGACCCAGCACATAACACTTATTCTTGAAGCATTTCAGACTTTCAGAGTATAACGCTAGAAATGCTGAATAATGTTTCAAATTCATCAATAAGAAGATGTTACGAACATCTGCGAATTCATAAGTTTTGTATCTAATAGTTTTGACGTTCAAAGCAGTTTTTGATCTGTGCATCTGTTTGTTTCTTTACTGTATATTTTTTATTAAATAATTGATTATTCACGTATTCCAAGATACGTTGTTTGTATTCAAGTGGACTGTATCTCTAATGAAAATCAATTTCATATGCGCAGCGTTGAAGAGACACCTACCTCGTGTGTTCTGATGATGACTTGATGTTCTGATGATATAATGTGAGCTAAGCGTTTCTAGCTAACTTCACTGGTTGCGGCAGCGTCCCTTGTTATACATGAAAAAACTCGCGTAATCTTGCGCGATAATATAGATAATAATATTAATTAGCCAATTAGTAGCGGTATGAATCGTTGGCTTGACTGATAGCGTGAGTCTCCGTTCCAGCGGCCTTGGTGCCTTCAGTTCTTCTTCTTGTCCGTAGAGGCGCATTTCTTGTACCAATTCAAAACTATTTACGACAATCCCTGAAATAGACGGAAAGAATTTCATTCTTACTCCCTATGCACGACTTCCTCTTATGAAAAAGGAAAAAGCCTGGACCCAGCATTTTTGTCCCATCGGCAAAGAACCTAACATAGGCTCATGCAGTACAAAAAGACTTACGAAAGAACTCTTCGAGGAACTTCGTCCTGAATCCTTCCCCATACCAGGTCTCATTGTACCTACATTTAAAGCACTATCAGCTACCAACTCCACAAACAGACCAAATAAACTAGGTGACTAGATTTTATCATCAATTTAGCCGCTGCTAATGAATCAAAAATGGGAGAACGTCATTCCGTTCAAGTGCCAAGATCAAATAATATAAAAAAAACTGACAAAATCCTTTAATGGAAAGCGGAAAACGTATCAAGAAGGCACGTTCCGCAACTCGAACAGCTGATCGTCGTGTTTGAACCGTTCCACTCTGACCTTCTGCCTGTAATGGTATTCTATTGAAGTTTTTTTTGAGGGTTTTAATAGTGAAACTTTAATAGCCATTTCGGTTCCATAATGACATCATTAAAGTCATAAAATGAAAAATATACCTAACCTGTGAGAAAACACCAGTTCACATTTTCAATCTAGCAATCAAACAGACCAGAGAATCCAGGCGACTAGATGTTTCCAACAATTTGGTAGCTGCACATGAATCAAAAGTTGAAAAACATACGAGTACCAACGTCAAATGATATCCAAAAACATGTAGTAGTCACGTTCGGCAACTCAAACAGCTGAACGTCATCTTAGAACCGTTCCACTCTGGTCTTCTGCTTGTAATGGTACTCTTTGGGGTAATTTTTTAAAGTTGTATAGCAATAATAAAATTTAAATAGGCACTTCGTTTCCATAATGACATTAGATACAAAATAAAAAATCTATGATAAAATTCGTAGAAAACTAACGAATTTTACATCTAAGCCATAAGTCAATACTAGTTCACAGTTTAATTTTGGAATCAAACAGACCATAGACACCAGGCGTCTAGATTTCATCATCAATTTAGCTGCTGAAGATGAATCAAAAGTTTCAACATCAAATGATATCCAAAAACATGACAAAATCCTCCAAACGGAAGCGGAAAACACATCAAGTAGGCACGTTCCGCAACTCGGAACAGCTGAACGTCGTCTTCGAACCTTTCCACTCTAATTTCAATATCCACTTTGTTTCCATAATGACATCATTGAAGATAGAAAATAAAAAATCTTTATGATAAAATTCGTAGAAAACGAACAAATTTTACATTTAAGCCGTAAGACAACACTACTTTGCAGTATCAATTTAAACCTTTCCACTCTGATCTTCTATTTGTAATGGTATTCTTTGAGGTACTTTTTTAAGATTGTACCGTGATAGAAAAATTTCAATATGCACTTTGTTTCCATAATGACATCATTGAAGATAGAAAATAAAAAATATTTATGATAAAATTCGTAGAAAACGAACAAATTTTACATTTAAGCCGTAAGACAACACTACTTCACAGTATCAATTTTGCAATCAAACAGACCAGAGATACCAGGCGACTAGATTTCATCATCAATTTAGCTGCTGAAAATAAATCAACATCAAATGATATCCAAAAACCTGACAAAATCCTCCAAACGGAAGCGGAAAACACATCAAGTAGGCACGTTCCGCAACTCGAACAGCTGAACGTCGTCTTCGAACCGTTCCACTCTGACCTTCTGCCTGTAGTGGTACTCTTTGAGGTACGTTTTGAGAGTTTTCGGCAGCTGCAGATGGTTGATGTTGTCGTAGGTGGACCGGCCGGCAATCACCGCTCGGGCCAAGTGTTGTAGAGGAAAGACGAACTTCCTGTGCAGGGGCCAGGTGAGCAGCGGCTCGAAGAACATGCAACTGCTGGGGTCCTTGTAGTGTTCTGTAACAATGATAACGATAATTAATAATCTTCGTTAGAAGTCCATGGTAATTTAAAAGTGGAGTGGTAAAGTTCATACATGAAAACCCTCTCCACAACTTTCACTTCAAATGATTAGATAAAAGATTTAGCATAGCATGCCTTTTATTTTCAGAGATCCTGGGTTCATACCCATATTCAACCAATTCTTTTTTTATTATCCTTCCTCCCTGAAAAATGTACTGTGGAGGCATTTACTGTTGAGGCCGATAGTGATTCGCTATTTCAATGTTCGCTAGCCGCCTTAAGTAATCTATGAATTTATCGAGAATCTCTCACCTATGAGGTCATAGACGGTATCGGACGTGTATACGCTCGGATCGTGAGAATCGAAGCTGAACTTGTGGTTCCACTGCTCGATGCGGGCGTGCAATGATCTGCCGTACATACTTGCGAAACGACACGCTGAACAGAAACTCCTCCTGGGCGTTATAATACATCTCACAATTCATGACCTTGATTGGCCGATGTGAAGTTAAACTTGCCAGTTATTATATCTAGGCAACTGAATGAAACCTATTAAAGTTCAATTATTTCAAATGTACCTGTTTGCCAATTTCGCCAGTCAATAGTATAACTCGGATCATGGCAATGCGGTGTTTCCTTTCTCTCACTATGGGTTGTATCTGATACGGTTGTGATACTGTCCGAAGTCAGTGGAGTGCTAAATACGCATCTTTGCCATGGCACTGGCATTCTATAATAACCCTTTCATTCAGGGATTACATAATTGTGACTTTCTTACTATTTATTCATTGAAAGTTCAGAATCCATTGTGAATATGTGTTCAAGCCGGTTCTACATGATTGTGAGGTATATAAGCAACACATATCTAGCAATTTTGTGACGTTTTTTTCTTTTTGGTCAAGTTACGACTGCTGAACTGTGGGCAATGTGTCATCCAGTCAATTCCATTGAAAGTAAGTACTCGTATTTTCAACTTTTTTCCAATGTGTGCAGTTAATAATGATTGTACGCGTACAATGGTTATTAAGTGCTCCTTGTGTGCTCGTCAAGTTGCCCTTCTGGGACTTGACTTTTGATTTTTCAAGTGCGCGTTCTTAGGGCACGAAGCCCTTTATTTTAAAAGAAAACCTGTTTATTCCTACAAAACCTATTCATTATTGTCATTCATGATATTATGATGAGAAACATCGGCAACTTGAAAAAAAAAAAAATGTTCACCACCATGTGAGTCAATTTTTGGTTTTATAACAATTTGTATATTTTCACATGTCTTTACTTGTAGTGATTTCTAAAATACGGCTGAAGATGGACTTTTATAAGTTCGAAACATGTCCCGTTGAATAACTACATCATTATTAAAGTTGTGGAGATGATTTTGAACTTTCCTTCCTCCTTTTAAAAATTCCACTCCACTTTGAGCAAACATGGACTTCTACCAAAGATTTTACAAATGATGAGTTGAAAGATCCCCTCACTTGTAGGAATCCTGGATGCGTTCTAGAATTAGATGCACCAAGTGCAATGTTCCTTGAAGAATGAATAAATCGAGAAATTGCTTTTTGTTATTTCATAAAAAAAATACTGAGATTACTCGCGATAACAATTATTTGAGGAACAATTTTCATTTTCACAATTGAAGGGGCAAGTGGAAGAAGGAATCAAGTAACATTTTCTGAAAATATTCGGTTATGTCATGGAAGGAGGTGTTACGTGCATATGTAACTTGCCCTGACAGGATTTGTTTCTATTCTTCATATCTGAGTAGATCAGTGGCAGAAGGGGCTATGTAACACTAAACATCAAGGACGCAATGGAAGAAGGAGCTATGTGCCCATTTTCTACATGTCAGGAACTGGAACATGTACGCATGAATCCATATGTACAGTGTGTCCATTTAGTGCGTAATTCTTCAATAACTCGAAATCAATTATCACAAGAGAAAATCTTTGGAGAAAAAACTTTTTCAGTTACTAAAGTTGCTCATTTCGAAAATATTTCCAACAATACTGGGTGTTTTATGAAAGCGGGGCAACTCGAAGACGAGTTTTTTCAAATGGAACACCCAGTATTGTTCATTCGAAATTTATTCCGCTTAAGTTCAGCTCTACATCGCTGTAAAAAAAATTGAATTTGGTTGCGGCGTTGCCAAGTTATAATTGATAAACCCATTTTTACTACTATTGAAGGGTCATGTTCAATTGGGTATGGTATATTTATTCATTGAAATTTCGAAAATATTTTTGGCATACAGTAGTAGCAAGGTATCACGTATACCAATCCAGTCATCTTGCGAGATAATCCTGTACAGGGTGCTAAAATTTACATTCTGAATATTGTAAGATTCAGACGACGATCATAAAAATTTTTCAAATGGAACACCCTGTATTTTTCATCACAGATTTATTTCGATATCATTCGCCTTTTCATCGCAGTAGAAACAATCAAAATCGGTTGCGGCGTTTTCAAGTTATGAGTAATTTCCTTATTTTCACTACTATTTCGGGGTAATTTGTACGTCATGATATGGTTCCTTGATTTGATTTGAGTGTGGGAATATTGCTTGCCACATGACATTCGAGGTGCTACATAGATCATTCAGATCATGTGCATCGTCCAAATTTGAAATATTCCGTAATCTTGTTACTTATGATTCAAATAATATGTGAAACAAACAAACATGCCAAAAGCAACGCCTGTCTTCGAAACAACTTCTACAATACAAACAATGAAGATGCGGATTGCGGAAATAAGGAATTATTTTTGAAATTTGGGCCATTTTTATTGTCGTTATTCCCACAATCCAAATCTCCATTTGACTTGAAGAAGGTAAACATAATGATACAAACAATATGTCTCTACTACACGGCTTTTGGGAGAGAATTCAGCAAAATGTCGAATCAATCCAAGATATATTTGATTGTAGCGATGTTTGACAGGTCATTACACAAATATTTCGAAAAAAATTCAAACTTGGAGAGCCTGTAAATGTTCCTTTTGTAAAAAAATATATGAATGGTCAATGAACAAATTTGATTACACCGTAGCAACGCAATATTTCCAGAATACAAATAAATGAAAGAACTATGACGTACAAATTACCCCGGAATAGTAGTAAAAATAAGGAAATCAACCATAACTTGACAACGCCGCAACCGATTCCGATTTGTTTTCCAGCGATAAAAAGGCGAAAGATGTCGAAATGAATTTTTGAATAAAAATACAGGGTGTTCCATTTGAAAAATTCTGATGAATATCATCTGAATCTTGCAAAATTCTAAATGCAAAATTGAGCACCCTGTTGAAGAACATGTCGCAAAATTACTGGATTGGTATACGTTGGACCTTGCTCCTACCGTATGCCAAAAATATTTTCAAAATCTGAATAAATGAATATACCATGCCCAATTCAACATGACTCTTCAATAATGGTAAAAATAGATTTATCAATTATAACTTGGCAACGCCGCAACCGATTTCAATTTTTTTTTACAGCGATGTGAACGTGAACCTCGACTGAATTAATTCCGAATGAACAATACTGGGTGTTCCATTTAAAAAAACTTTTCTTCGAGTTGCCCTGCTTTTATGAAACACCTAGTAATGTTGAAAATAATTTTGGAATGAGCAACTTTAGTAACTGGAAAAGTTTTTTCTCCAAAGTTTTTCTCTATAGGTTATGGCTTTCGAGGTATCGAAGAATTACGCACTAAATGGACACACTGTATATCAAAAAATGATATGATAGCATGATGCGGTTGATCATAAAGAAACAATCTAAAACTATTCCTCACAATTGCATGAATCAAATTATTAAACTAGCTTTCATTTAAAAATGCCAGCTAACTTTACTAAAACCTATTTTTCTCACAAACTCATATTTGTAACATAACTCCTTCTTCCACTTGCCCCTTCAATTATTGTAAGTTTATCTGTTCACTACCACATAAAACAATAATTGTGAACGTCCTGTACAAAGTCCTGGAAAATTAAACTACTATACTATTTTTTGAATTGACTCGGCCGTTACTTGATGGAAATCCATGGCAAATGTAAAAACTTCACAAACAAAATTTTGTGGAAATCTTATCGTTTGTGAAGTTTTTACATTTATTGTTCAGTTTTACTTCAGAATCGATCAAGAAAAAAATATCAGGAGGGAATGGGATAAGTAATCTAAGGCTTTATCGAGAATCTCTCACCTATGAGGCCGTAGACGGTATCGGACGTGTATACGCCTGGATCGTGCGAATCGAAGCTGAACTTGTGGTTCCACTGTTCGATGCGCGCGTGCAACGACCGCCCGTACTTGCGGAACGACACGCTGAACAGAAACTCCTCCTGGGCGGAGTCGCGCAACAGAAAAGTGCCCTCCGGCTTGCCGTCCAACAAGCGCTCCGCCTCGTATCTGTCCATCTTGCCTGAAAAGGAATAGGCAACTGAGATTAAGGTCGTAGCGCCAGAACGGCGAATGTCGGTACTACTATATGGGCCATTGGCGGATTGTTTACATTGTTCAGTAATGGTGTTTATGTTCATTTCGTTTTGATATTTCAAACGTTTAGCTTCATTATTTGTGTATTTTTGAACTTCGTGTTTTCCAGTGGTTTATTATGTTTTGATTGAGGACAAGATTATATCTGTTCAACAGTAGATAACCTACCTACCTCTAGTTGACATTTATATGTACCATATCATACGTAAGCTGTGAGTTCTCATCATTATTGAACAAGAATTCTCATGATTCAACCTGTATGGGATGGTGATTTCCAATTCAAATAGATGGCTGGGATATTCCCCTGATAGCATAATATTTTTGGAAGGTAATGTTATATATACCTCTTTTTTAATTACTTTTCACAACACATAATAATCAAATACCTCTATTTATAATCTTGATACAAAAACTGAATGTTAAAAATCATTTCACAGGTACATAGTAGGAAGACTATCATAGAAGCTCTCGAAAAAATCACTTATATGTAGTCCAAGGAAATAGTGACTTCATATAGTTGAAGAAACTACATAATTATTATAGGAGATCGCTCAACTTTTGATTCAAACAATACATTTTTGGTTATATATTCATTTTTCAATTACATTATTTTGAATTTATTTTGGTTATTGAATTGAATTTGATTTTGAGTTTGCGAAGAACATGTTATGTTAGCAAAAGAAAATTATATTAGTAAAATGTTATGTTTTATGTGAAACCCAGTGTTCTGGTTGATGAAATTCTCTACTGTGTATAAATTCTACTGTTAATGAGAAGTATTATGATGAAAGATGTAATTAGTTGAAAATTTGTTCGATTTTTATTATACAGGGTGTTTCATGAGAAGACTCACATAGCCAAATGGTTAATAGGAAAAATCAAGACGAGTTGATGTATATATATGAAAACATTTTTTGACCCTCCATAACGAAGATACAGGGTATTATGCGAAGTTGTGATATAACTTTGATGGCCAATATTACAGGAATGATTCATCGTAATCTGCTGAAATTTGGCAGCGACATTTCTCTACTGAAACTATTGAAGATAACATTATGAAGAAAAAATATCCAGGTCCGAACTTGGGAAAATTTCATGTTTCATTGTTATGTCAAAAAAGTTCACTTTGTGACCACTTTTCTCGAAAAATTCCATCAGATTCAGAAAGATCAGACAAAATGCTATAAGAACTGCACTTCATTTCACACGGCACACTTCAACCGGTTCAACAAAAAAATATGGAACAAAATCGTTCGAATAAATTTTGAATTTCGACCTGGCTGATAACTGTCAACTTTCAACTGGTATCATGAGAATTGATTTTTCCTACATTTTTGTTGAATAGTAATTGACAGAAGTATAGACGAGAAGAAAAAACACGATATTTTTATATCGAAATTCCGGGTAGATATTATTATTCCTGACTTTGTTTTATGGATTTCAATAATTGAAGTAATGATAAAATATCTAGTAGGCCCTGTTTCCCATTTATGTGACGAGACGTGACGTTTGTTGATAATCCGAACTGATAGGAAGGTACTAGGCTAGTACTAGGTAGGTACCAACGGATGGAATTACGGCATGAGGATTCATGTGCCCATATTATGGTGATTTATCAAATTAGTTATGCCATCACGCATAAACACAGTTCCATTTTTGGTTATTGATACACTTCTGCAAGTGATAGAAGGATGCGTTAGCTATTTATTCGAAATTCCTTGTTCATCCTCGTGAAGGTTTTACTGCAATGTATTCTTGGGTCTGTAAATATTCTATGGTATTAAACATACAATCGCATTTGGATTTTCGTCTTGTTCAGCATTTGAAATATGAAGTAGCACCTAGAGTGCAAGAATATTTCAATTACCATCAGTGTTTACTCATCAACAAACGCCACCTTACATGAAATAAACACAGGGCCTACTTTATAACAAATTAATAATATAGAGTCACGAGTAATCATATCTATATAGAAGTTCGGTCAAAAACTAACATGTCAAATCATAAAAAAATCAGAACTTTTCTCTTCTGTCAATTTCTAACCGGTCAAAGTGTGCCGTGTAAATTGAAGAGCAGTTCTTATAGTATTTTGTCTGATCTTTCTGAATCTGATGGAATTTTTCGAGAAAAGTGGTCACAAAGTGAACTTTTTTGACATAACAATGAAACATGAAATTTTCCCAAGTCCGGACCTGGATATTTTTTTATCATTATGTTATCTTGAATAGTTTCAGTAGAGAAACGTCGCTGTCAAATTTCAGCAGATTACGATGAATAATATCTGTAATATCGGCCATCAAAGTTATATAGCAATTTCACATAATACCCTGTATCTTCGTTATGAAGGGTCAAAAAATGTTTTCATATATATACATCAACTCGTCTTGATTCCCCCTATTAACCATCTGGCTATGTGAGTCTCCTCATGAAACACCCTGTATATTACCCCAAGATGTAAATTACCTTCATAATAGACATTATACCTATTATATGGAAATATATGAGTAAATCTTCAGTAAAGTGAAAAGAATAATCTCTCATAATATGCTCAGACACTTTTTTTTTCAATCTTCAAGTTATGAATTCACATCTTTCTTCTATGGATCACTTTATTGTTCCCCAATTTAGTTACAAATACAACTTAGGGTTGTCCTGGTTCTGGAAAGGTATGAAAGCTATATTCGGGATTTTTTTGCTCAAGATGAACAATGGGGTACACAACAATAGTGATTCATGTTTTTAAAAGTTAATAAAATTTTTCAAACAAAATTATAGACGATTTAAACACAACTACATCTTATACCAACCAATGGCCCATACGTTAGATTAGATAGTGATTCAAATTTTGGAGGATAATTGGATATAGTTAGGGCGATCTATAAAGGGTGAGTCGAAAATGTGTACCGAGCTTTCTGGAGGTGGTTGTACATTGAAAAATAAGTACAGTTTGATGAATAAAGAAAAATCCCAAATTGTATATCAACGGAAAACCGACTATTTCCGACGGCAAATACTTTTCGTCCGCAGACACTAACTTTTCGTCCGCAAACACTTTTCGTCCGCTGCAGGGTTGCCAGTTCTACTGAAACATTGCATAACGTACTGAAAAATATTTTGACACTCATTTATTATTATAATTACCTTCATTATTATTAATCTTCAGTTAATCACATACACTTATGAATTGCAGGATATTTCAGCACGCTCTGTTTAAATTAATTTTACAAAATAAGTAATAAATGTACCGGATGAACTAAGAACGGCTGTCATATTTATCATTCTTCCAACTTTGATAGTTAATATCATCCGTTGGCGAAAAGCGGTGTGTGGTTTTCGTTGGTCTGTTGAGATTTAGTTTATCCATACCATTAGATTTATTTTATCTCAAACTTGTATCATTATTCGTTGATGAGATATGGCCAACAGCCATTCTTAGTTGTTCACATGGTACATATAGGTTACTAATGACATGTATAAGGGAGATATATCCTTCCAAAATTGATAAAATTGAAATAATTTTTCTGCATAACTTTCAAACGGTAAAGGCCACCAGATTGAAATTACATGCATAAATGTATGTTGTTGAAATTCATTTTCCTGATATATTTCTACATTTCATATATTCAACTAGGAAAAAGCCAAATACTCAAAGAGGAATGCAATGGTCACAAAGAGAGAGAATCTCGAGGTCATTACCACAATAGTTCATAAAATGAACAAAAATGGTAGATAACGACAGCAAAACAACTATATTCCTGACTATATGCTATACGTAGAACATTGAATTACATCCTCCCGAAATCTATGCAATAACTCGTATAGATGAATAAAATCGCAAGTGTTTCCAAACATAAAAGGAAATATTTGATAGAGTGAAAAAAAATACTTAAATACGGTACCATAAGACACAAAAATTGTAATCGTTTTCGAGATATTTGAGTTTTTGGAGTCACATCATATCAGCAGATTAATTCATCGGTAACAATATTTTAGGAGGCCATGATCAATTTCGTTCTTAGTTTTGACGTTTATGATATGAACATTATTATTGCTAATTTCCTTGTTAAGTTTTTTTGATAAGTAATATTATTACTGCATTTTTCAGCTGGGATTTTAAAAATTGCAGGTTATTCGTTATGCGGTTTCCTGCTCGACCCGTTCCAATTCTATAACAAATTTGAGGATTGTGCAAATATTGTGTGAAGTAGAATATTTTGAATCGAAAACTAGAGATGGTGTGCAGTCAAGAGGAATTTGATAAAAAATTGGGAGAATGGAGAATTTTTCAATATGTTGCAGAGGTTTGTTTGTCACCCTGTATAGCCAGAGGTTACCATGTATTTCCATCAGCGGTCTATCTGTCATATACCCAAAGCATCAATCTTCAGAATAAAGAAAACCGCATCCGAATAAGTAGAAATTTCGCGAAAATATTCAACGTTGAATTTAGAAGAAAAATGTGCTTGATGCGGTTTAATTGATCAGCAGTTTAGTTGTGGACGAATTCGTGAAGAAATAAAGAAAGAATTTTTAGAAAGAGGGACACTCCAAGCCGTCAAATTCAATGTTCATTCAGGCTTTTTTTCATAATTCGATTAATACATACAGAATGATTCGTTTAAGGGAAATTACGCCATTGGTATTTTTTTAAAGGCAACCCCATTTCACGATAGCAGTGAATATAACGGACGCACTGTATACAAACCCTATGCGTGATATATTTTTGAATCCAGTCTTCCATGAAGAATCAGAAAATTCGATAATATACACTGTGTCCAAGAAAAGGATGTCTATCCTGGGGATCGTTCTCATTTGTTTCTGTCGTTATCTATAGGCAAACAAAGGACACTTTCATATTGCCACTTCATAAGCTCTACAAAACGAAGTTGAGAGATTTTCCGTACGACGTTTCGTTTCAGATAAACCATCATCAAATTTACCCCATGATAGACATCCTTAACTTGGACAAACTGTATATAGTGTTCCATTTGAAAAAATTGTAGTGGTCTTTATTTCTCAAACGTGGATCTCCCTGTACATCAATTTTTTTACTAAAAATGTGAATTTATTCAGTATTTAATGAAAGTACTCAATGTAACGGATGCACTGTATAGAAACCCATTGTGTGATATATTTATATATATCCTATTTGAAAAAATTATCATAACTCAAACGTTTTCCATAAAAATGTGGGGAATTGAAAATTAAAATCAACCTGTTTCTGAACTCAGGAATGGATAATTTGGCTGAAAATGAATAATATACATATGTTACTGTTTTTTGAGAACTGTAGCCCTCTTAAAGACAAAAATTGAACTACTCTTTGGCTGTCGGAACCTCGCTAACAATATGGCGATATTGAAAATAGATGCAAAAGCATAAGAATTGATTTTACTGGCAATAAATTTCCAAAGGACACTGTTTCAGAAACTAATATTCTATATAATAATAGGGGCTTTATTTTTAATATCCTCGGCGAAGTCCAGCAAAGCTGTTCTACTTAACCGAGTACCATATTACATTAAAATTGAATAACTACCTACATAGTAGCTTAAATATAAAACTAACTTATCTACTGAATATAAGTATAACATTATTATGTGTTCTAAAATACGTTTTATTAACGAAAAAAAAAAAAAAAAAAAAGTTGACTTTTTGAAGCGAAACATTGATTTATTCTTGACCTCTTGTGGGAGAGAATTGTATATTTTAACTGCATTATAGGAGAAGCATCTCTCATATAAAGCTGTTCTATCCATAGGCATCACGAGAAGACCTGTATTTCGAGTGGAACAATTATGAATTTCCAAAGTGAATGTTCGATGATGAATGTAAATAGGATTTTTATCAGTCAATACTTTGTGAACCAGGCAGGCAATATGCAATTTACGCCTATTGAACATATTGAGCCATCCCAATTCTCTAAGTTTATGAGAAATGTTGTCGCTGGTTCTGAGTGAGTAAATGAATCTGATACAGGAATTCTGAATTCTATGAATTCTCGCTGATGAAACTGCATCCAAGCATGGACCATATACTAAATCAGCATAATTGGCATGACTCAATACTAGTGATTCACATAGTTGCTTTTTCAAGGGTACATTGATGAAAGACCTACTGTGATATAGATTCTTCAATGAATAGTAACACTAACAATAGATTTAACCTGTGCCTTGAATCTCAGCTTACTATCAATAGGAATTCCTAGACTGTTCACTACATCACAAGGCTCTACTCTAACAGTAGCAATTTCAATTTTCAAATCAGATTTCACCTCTACTGATACATTACCAAAACATAAAGCTTGGTTCTTCTTTGGGTTAATCTTCAGCCCATGCTTATCAGAGTATGCAACTATATTCTCCAAAGTTTGATTTATATCTAAACATGCAGTATTCAACTCATCAGCAAGGAAACTTTTATAAACTTGAGTGTCATCAGCGAACTGATCAATTGTACAATTTACAGAATTCCTATAATAATAATAATAATAATAATTTATTGCACTTAAATTACATATTACAAACATAACAAATACATTGGTAATATATACAAGCCAGTCACAGAACATTCAGAAATAGGACGAAAAATTAATACATAATATAATATAATATAAAACATTTATAGTGAGGATGCAAAATTTAAGTATTCTGAACCTACTGCACTATCCAGGCACTGCTCAAAATAATCATTCAAGGAATAAGGTTCCAGATTACATAAGAAGTTAAGTATAGGCTTCTTCACTAGTTGAAAATTTTCTTTCAGTTTTATGTGTGTTGGTAAATGATTAAATAATTTTATACAGGAGTATAGAGCACCTTTCTCAAAACAGGCTAACCTATGATATGGAATATTGTAATTTGAGATGTTTCTAGTACTATAGTTATGAGTTATGTTGAATTGTAGGAAATATGGCCTATTTTTGAACACAAATTTAATACACTCATATATGTACAATGCTGGAACAGTAAGTAAATTTAGGGAGCTGAAGTGAGTTTTACAAGAAGTGAGATAACTCAACTTTTTGATTATTCGAATAGCTCGCTTTTGAATTGTGAAAATATTTAAGGCTTCACTGCTTCCTCCCCAGAGAATGATGCCATAACGTGCCCTTGAATAGAAGCTTGCATAGTAAAAAGTTTTAACAATGTTGATATTTGTGTTATTCGACAGTATTCTGAGGCCAAAACAAGACCGGTTGAGTTCCTTACTGAGGAAATTGATGTGGGAGGAAAAACTCAGGGTTTCATCAAGAAATACACCCAAACACTTGATTTCTGTGGAAAATTGTATTTTATGTTGATTGAGAATGATATTGTCTGGGGTTTCAGGCCCACGTGTTGTTTTGAAAAACACTGCTTTAGTTTTGTCAGGATTTAGTATTAATTTTGAATTCAAGAACCAATTTTCTATGTTAACCATGAGTGAATTACCATTAAGCGTTAGTTGTGGAAAATTTGAAGCGGTAAATAACAATGTAGTATCATCTGCATAGTTAATGACAGTTTGATCTCGTTCGGCAATTGATAAGAGATCATTGATGTAGATGATGAATATGAGTGGCCCTAATACGCTGCCCTGCGGCACCCCCCTGGTCACCTCCAGAGCCGAGGACCGTATATATTCATTTGTATTTTGATCCTTCAGCTTCAAAGTGTGTGTGCGTCCGGTCATGGTATATATTAAAAATAGGAGAGGTCCGAGTATTGAGCCCTGCGGTACATCTTTATCAACTAATCTAGAGCTGTACTGCACATTGTCAATTAACACATTTTGGCTCCTATGAGAAAGAAAGCTCCGTAATAGTTTGACTACCCTATTAGAAAAGCCATAATAGTTAATTTTAGCCAAAAGAAATTCTCTGCCCAAAGTGTCAAGCGCCTTACTATAGTCTAATAGAACTAGTGTTGTAATTATTCCCTCATCTATTGCTCGTATGATATCATCCAACATTTTCGTCAACGCAGTAATTGTACTGTGAGCACTTCTAGAGCCAGATTGATTTTCTGGGAATAACTTATTGTCTGATAGAAACTGTACCATTTGCAAATATATCAATTTTTCCAAAACCTTGGACAATACAGATAGCTTACTTATTGGCCTCAAATCAGAAATATCTTTCGGGCTATTCACTTTTGGCAATTATACCACAGATACCATTTCAAACTCCCTAGTTAACAACTGTAATGCCCAGTATATCGGTCAGAGTGGTAGTAGTATTAAGACTCGAGTCAATGAGCATGTCAAACTCATGGAAAAATCAAAAAAAGTTCCTTTGCCAATCACATTCTCAACGCACACCATTCTTTCAACAGTCAGACAGATCTTGAAATTTTACATGTTTGCTCTAAAGGGAAATTATTAGGGATTTTTGAAATCAACATTTCTTTGAATGACAACAGTGTTATTTCACTAAATAAACAAACCCATTATGAATAATCAGAAATATCAGTTGTAATTTACTCCTTCCTTGGTCTTCGAGTTTTCCATTGAATTTTTGAGTTTTATTAACATAACCTCATTATCATAACCTACAAATATCTTCTTCTCTCCTTTTTCCAGTACACCAATGGCTCATCTCCGCTGGGTGGACAGTCACTACTATGTTGTCTCGTGCCACTGGTCTCTCATTGACTTGTGATGTGTGACACATGCCGTGGTTCTTTCCGCCTAGGTCAGGTGATATCCATCGTGTGCTGGTACAAGGCAAGATGGACACGTTTTTATTTTCAATGTCGCATCCATGTGTGCCATTTGTTTATTCTAAACAAACGGGACTCTTGGGTTTCCTTATTTAAATTTTTACATCAACACCTCACCTTATAATTTTTATAATGAAAAAGTTGGTGACATAACCTTTTTTTATCTCCACGTAAGCACTCCTATTATCATAACTGTTGTTGATTTTACTAATAACTATTTTGAATTTAAGACAATTTTGTAATTTCAATATAAGGCTGATGATGGACATATATGTATGTGTTAAGCACATTAAATGTCGTGGAGATCATTTAGTATTTAATACTTGACTCCACTTTGAGAAACCATGGACTTCTACCTAAGATTGGTTAACTTATTGTTGACCCGGTTTATGTGGTTAACTACGTATCTTGAAGATAGATACTCAGTGGGTAAATAATAAGTGCCTTAACAATGACTTTGACTATTAGTCAATGTTAGCTGTCAGTCCGGTAGCTCCCAGTTTCAACTTGTGATTGATAAACCAGCCCTTTGTGAAAAAAATAGCAAAGTAGAATGTTGTTTAGCTTCCTCTAATTCATTCGTTTTTCTTGCCATAACTTGTTCTCTATTATGCCTATTAATTTTAATTTTTGAACCGATCCTCCGAAAGCTTGTCACATTCACCTGCCAAATAATCGCCTGATTTTGCAAATCAATGAATAAACAGTAAAGAGAAAATACTCACCCCAATAGAAGCTACAATTAGTTATAGTCAACAAATCGGGAACTAGGCAGTGGATAAAATCGACCTGGGTATGGCAACCAGGTATCGTGTCCGAAGGACATGATCTCAAAGTCACGTGATTCTGGAAGAGCGCCCTAATCGATTCGACGCTTAGATCCGGAGGACAAACCAGCTGCAACCTGATGAAAATAATAATGATTTTATTTTCTTATACGCCGATAGGAAATTGGATAAAAATATCAATATTGTTCAGAACGGTGTTGGATGTCCCTTTAAAATATGGTCAAAACCAGAAACGAGACATATGAAAATCACGTTCGGTCTTGAATAGTTGTAGCTTCCGTATTTGTAAACGGATTGGAACTCTCCTAGGAATGAAAGCATAATATACTAGCTTTCTACGTATTATATTTAATACCTATAATTTATTTATTTATTCATTTTCGAAATAGCATACATATCAGCATACTATATTAATAATAATACATATACATAATGGGACATAGAATCATTCTGAAAATTTGGTTGCTCAAGTAGTTGCTCTTGATCTATCCACCTAAAATATTTTCGACAATGCAGTGTTGCCGCTTCTATCCAAACAATATCAACAACTTCATCATTTTTATTTTTATTTTTAGATTCTTCCTGAAGAGCTGATTCCATCGATATATCACACTTGGGGTCTAGCGGGAATGATTACAGAGATATAGGGTGTTCAAAATCGCGATTTTTCAACTTTAGTTTTTTTTTTGTGTCTGAACTATTCATTATCGGCCAAAACGGCTTACATGTCCTTATGTTAACATCTAATTTACTATTTACCTACATTTAATTGGAACCATTACAGGCTAGACCCCAAGTGTGATATATCAATGAAATCAGCTTTTCAGGAAGAATCCAAAAATGCAATAAAATACAGGGTATTCTATTTTGAAATACAACGTTGTTGCTACTATTCAATAGAAGCAACTACTTGAGTAACCAAATTTTCAGAATGATCCTATGCCCCGTTCTCCGTAAATGTCTAAGGTACCATAGACCGTGACCCAATCTGTATAATATTCATAACTCTCCTCCAATTATTAAATATTTCCAGGCAACTAATCTGAAATAATCAACTTGTTTCACTGATTTGAGGTTACCAATGTGTGTGTTATGATTGTGATTAATCATGTGTTCGGCTACACTCGATTCATCTAATCTACCATATTTCAAATATGCCAGGTGTTATGGGTCGCCTAGTTTGACCTATTATGTTATACAACAAACATTACAACCGATTCTGTGAATTGCTGACTTAACTTTTGAATACCCCAAGATATGGAAAAATATATATTTATTGAATCAACATATAATGTGCTATACTCAAATTAGGGACCATTTTAGGATGCATGTTCATCGAGAAAACCTGTGTTACAATCAAATTTTCATCTGAGCTAAGTGTGACCAAATCGCAATATATTCACTAACAGGAGAGCTTTTTTTTGTCGAAGTAAACTTGACATGTATCAATAAGAATTTTGTTGCCTGACAATTTGACGAAAAAAACTGCATCTGAAAAGTCCGTAGGACGAGTAATTATTTCTGGCAGTTTTTTGAGTTGAATTACCTAATGGCAACAGAATTCAAATTATAAATGCCAAGTTTACTTCGACTAAAAAAAAAGCTAGAGTGTAATTCGGTAAGATAATTTAATTCATCAAACATTTATTTATGGCTGGTTGTCATGCTTTCAAAAGTTAGGTTCCGTTATTGTCGCTGGAAAAGTTGGGGCAAACTTTTTTCGCTGTCATAATGATAAAATCACGCGACATGTGGGATTTTTCATACATAAATTAAATTGTCACTCAAAGAATCTTCAATTTTACTGGGTAGCTCTAGAGTTCCTCAATGTATATAAGACTTCTGTTTTGACGTTTCGTATATTCAGAGTACGTACACTCAACAAGCAGTGACAGTCAGACATAACCACAAATGATTTTGAAAAAGATCATATACAGTGTGTGTCTCACTTCTAATGGAAATACCCCCGTATCTTACGTATTCGTTGTGAAGGGATCCTGAAAGGTGGAGCGAGAGATATACCAAAAATGCACTCTATGACCAAGTGGGGCTATCTTCAGTGATTTTCACTGCTCGTCAACAGCCATGGAACCACCCCAATTTCGTGCAAATGATATTTGGAGTCAAATTAGGTGAAAAATCACTTTGAATTCGGACTCAGGACGCCCTAGATATTTATATTTTTTCTGATTTTTTTTCAGTTCAGAAAAGTCATTTTTGTCTCACTTTTCATGGAAACAGTCCCGTATCTTACGTAATCGTTGAGTTAAGATCCAAAAATTTGCTGTAGCGAGAGATATACGAAAAATGTACACTATAACTGAGTGGGGTTATCTTCAGTGATATATACTGCTCGCCAACAGCCGTGGAACTACACACATGTCCGGAAAATAATATCAAGACAAAATTTGTTGAAAATCATTTCGGATTGAAAAACAAGACACAAACTTCCCATATTTTGACGTACTATCATCGGTGAGGATTTTCCTCATAATATCAACTAATTCATTTAATCTTTATTCATTTCAATCACACCCATCATTATTTCTGGTCCATTGAATCACTCCTGATAATCTATTAGATTGCATTAGTTCTGATTGTAATTTCGTTATCCCTGATAAGAACTGACTCTATGACTATCAATTTCAGAACAACTAATAGGTGAATTTTCCGATTTAATAAATTTTTCCTCCTGGCATGTAGATCATTGATCTTTCTTGCTGCTGAAAATTTCAGATTCCTACATCAATGATTACGTTAGATACTATACAGTGTGTCCCACTTACCATGCTCACCATGGGTATCTTTTTAACGGTGAGAGATACGAAGTCGGTTAAATGACACCAAATGTGGAGTTTGTCAAGGCCAACTATAATGTGAAAAAATATTTTGATAAAATCTATTCGTTTTTGTTTTATACGCAAAAAACAGATTTTGATCATTTTCATGTCTCCTCCGTAACTTCTTTATTTATGATAATATTCAAATAGGAATTTCACATTCTCATGGCAGTTTTCCAAAGTGATTCCGAAAAAAATATGAAATTTATACCATCTCTTCTAGAATTTGAGATATCAGCACCAACTTTGGTTTTTCAAATGTAGGTCATAGCTCACTATGACTTAGCTAAAAATAACTTATTTTTCTCTTACAGATGATATGTCGCAGTAATAGTTTTGTGTTGATAACAACGGAGTTATCGTCATTTATACAAAAACAAAAAATTATTTGGAAGCCGCCATCTTGAATTTATAAATTTTAACAAAAAAATCATGATCTCCGACCTCGAAAACCCCCACTTATCAATTTTGGATGGAATCGGACCAAATCATGTCCGCCATCTTGGAGCAGCCATTTTTTTAATTGATGGCGGACAAGTTTCGGTCCGATTCCATTCAAAATTGGTAAGTGGGGGTTTTTGAGGTCGGAGATCATGATTTTTTTGTTAAAATTTATAAATTCAAGATGGCGGCTTCCAAATAATTTTGTTTTTGTATAAATGACGATAACTCCGTTGTTATCAACTGCGACACATCATCTGTGAGAGAAAAAAAAGTTATTTGTAACTTAGTCATAGTGAGCTATGAGCTACATTTGAAAAACTAAAGTTGGTGCTGATATCTCAAATTCTAGAAGAGTTGGTATAAATTTTATATTTTTTTCGAAATCACTTTGGAAAACTGCCATTAGAATGTGAAATTCCTATTTGAATATTATCATAAATAAAGAAGTTACGGAGGAGATATGAAAATGATCAAAATCTGTTTTTTGCGTATAAAACAAAAACGAATAGATTTTATCAAAATATTTTTTCACATTATAGTTGGCCTTGACAAACTCCACATTTGGTGTCATTTAACCGACTTCGTATCTCTCACCGATAAAAAGATACCCATGGTGAGCATGGTAAGTGGGACACACTGTATAGGGTGCTTACATGAAAAGTGAAGCAAAATAATTGATCATTTCAGAACTGAAAATTGTTCAGAAGGAATATGAGTACTTAGCGAATTAGACGTTCTATTATCTGCTCTCGAATCCGCAGTGATTTCCAACCTAACTTGTCTTCTAATATGATTTTCCGGACATGTATGTGGTTCCATGGCTGCTAGCGAGCAGTGTATATCACTGATGGTGATTTCAATAGGTCATTGACTGAATCTTCGGAATATTTCTTACTACTGGAAATTTAACAATCCTAACTCGATAATTATGTAAGTTACGTGGGTGTTTTCATGAAATTTGAGACAAAAATGAAATTTTCAGAACTGATTTTTTTTCAGGAGGAATATGTGAGTGAATTGGGCGCCCTGATTCCGAATCTGAAGTGATTTTCAATCTATTTCGACTCCATGGCTGTTGACGAGCAGTGTATATCACTGAAGACGACCCAACTTGGTCATAGAGTGCATTTTTGGTATATTTATCGCTCCAGCAAATTTCAGGATCCTTACCCCACGAATACGTGAGATACTGGGGTGTTTCCATTAGTAGTGAGACACACTGTATGTTAAACGAGGATATGAATAAATATTTTACTCAGATAATGGCTTCTCGGAGGATCCTCCACATGTTCAGGGAAGAATGCATCCATATATAATATTTTCAATACTAGGTATAATTCAATTTGTTATAGTCCAATATTCTCTTGTTTCTTAATTCGTATTAAGTTAACATAACTCATTTTTGTTGTGGTAATTTTGATTGTATTAGAAATTACACGATCGAATACGGCATACTATGCATTTATATATCACGTACAAGCTGGCCTACAGCTTCTGTGATTGTTATGTTTATTTTGCTAATATTCACTTCCAATTTTCAATACTCATTTTCATTTCAGTTTTGTATTCACATAATAACTCATTATATTTGTGAACAGAAGGAGCTTCCGTTAGAGTTGAAAATATACAGGGTGTTCCATTGAAAAAAAAAAACTTTTTTTTTCATTTTGCTTTTCGCATTTGTTCAAAGAGTGCCGAAGTAAAGTACAGATGAAACCCCTTTTCCACTTCGTATTGTTGAATCAACATCAACTCCAGCTACCCCTAGACCTCGTGACGGACGTACCTTCGGGGCGCATGCGCGTCCCCGCCCTCCTCGGCGGGGCAGAGCAGCTGGACGCGTCTGACGGGGCGGAAGTGGGCGGGCGCCTCGACACCCTGCTCGATCTCGCGGGCGCGCGCCAACCGGGCCGCCTCCTCGCAATCCTCGTGCTGTTGTGTCCTCATCCTGGAAAACAACACGAAGACATCGCATTAGAATGGGCCTGTTGATTCCATGAAAATTGGGACAAATATTAGTATTTCAGAACTAAAATTTGTTCAGGAAAAATGTGAGCTTTTCAAGTGTAATAGGTGTAACAAATCAATGTCGCGCCCATGCTCTCTTTTAAATATAATCAAATATTCGTCAGGAGGCTAGGCAACTCATCTTTCATTAATACAGATTCAAAATCCGTGCGCGCACCTGGGTCGGTTATGGTTAGGAGGGGATTTCTGAAATGTCCTGCGCTGGTCCTTTCACTCTAGAACGGGCAGTTTTCTCAACCAAGTGAAGTGAAGAACATCTACGTCGATCGAACCCAAATTTGGTGTTTTTGGTTTTATATGTGCCCAATGATCCTTTGGAACATCTTGGCCTGTGCCTGCATTTCATATTTAGGTGGGTAAAACTCTTTTATACTACTTTATGATTGTATATTCGATCCCTTCAGGTCACATGTTAGTTATACCTACCTTTCTTATTTACTTATTTGTATAATTCCTTCACCTCTTATATTATGTGATGTACTGTCCTGGGGCTCAATAGTGCATTTCATATTTAGGTTTCCGACGTTTCGCTCAACCACGTGATTTTGGTGAACTTTTGAAGCAAATAAATAGTCTCCTGAACCATCAGCGTTTCTATCAGCAAACCCATCAAACCCCTGAGACTGTTACATAGGTACATAATTTCAATTCAATATTTTGAATATTGTGAGAGATAACCAACGAAAAGACATTGTACAAGAAGGTGCAAGCTTCTAAATTCCTTTCATGTTGAGAAATGCCGACGGATGACCTTGACACGTCTATTGGCGTGCTTGGCGGGCAGTTGAGCTTCCGCCTAATAGATTTCGCCAACGTTAGACCGCCAGCGTTCTGTATGAATTCGCTGGCGTTCATGTAGACGAATTGAGTGAGCATAGGCGTACTTAAAGCACGGGAAGTAGAATAGATGAGTGGAATAAAAACTATTGATCATGAATAACCAATAAGATTTTCATTCTGGTTAGGTTCATGCAGGTTTACGTTTTGCCCTCATGAATATTCAATAACAGCCCCTATTTGGATGCAATGTCAATTCGTTCATTAATAAACTATGAAAAGCAAGTCAAGCAGTTGAGCAAGAACTCGTGTGGATATTTTTGGAAATGAATTCCTGAACGGAAAAAAGAAAAAAACAAAACTATATTCATCATTAATTTTTATTTACATACACAATGAGTACTGGGCTATGAATGATTGTCACATCGTAGTGGTAGTTGAAATGTCATGTGCCACCTTTCATCTATGGAAAATCTCTAGGAAATCTAAATATATGACAGTAATGATTTTGTCAGATATGGAATACAAATGTTAGATTCTCCATAAGTAAAAAGTGGCATATGAAGGGAACATTTCAAAAATCACTATGATGGTTCAATCATTTATAAAAACCCTGTAATATTTTACTTGACGATACTCGCCATATTCATTCATGTTTCCAAATAACAATTTTTCTGTGTTTTTTCCCTTGTCTCGTGATGGTTTTGAAATTTTGATTCGCAAATTTTATGGTATAATAAATTCTCAAGCGTGTGTAGAGTTTCAAAAAATATACTTTAGGAAACGAGTCACACGGATGAACAAACTCCTTTTAAACATCTCTCAATTTTTATACCTCAAAATTTGAAATTTTCGTGAGAGATATAATAATGACAGAAAAGACCATTATGGTTTCGGCTTCTTGAATAAAGGCGCCTTAGCAATGATATTTAAGTAAAGGTGTCTCAAGAATGAAAGTCATAAATCCTACAGAATATTTCTTGTTCACAATAAATATAAAACTTTTTTAAGATCAATTGTGTTTTAAAACGTTTCATTTTTTAGCTAAAAAGTTTTGAAATTTTCCAAGAAATAATCTGATTTAGGAATATACCGTATAGTATGTATATGAGAGAAGCATTGAAATATTTCACAAGAAATCGAAAATACAAAGAAAATTTGATATTTTTTGGAACATTTCAACACCCTGTAGCTCAAAAACAGTTTTTTTTGGAAAAATGTGTATTTTTCTACATTTTGCATTCATTTGAATAAGAAATCTTCCGTATGATTTATGACATGGATTCTGAGACACATAATATATAGTATATTTTTCATCCTCATTAGACATTTTATTATATTTGTATAACATTACCTACATACCTACCTGTCGATATCTTTGGGGAATCTAAACAAATGTATATCGATGATGGGATAACTCTGGTAGTTGTTAAAACAACCATTCACAGAACAAAGGTTGCTGCACCGTTTATTGAATTTCAGCACTCCAAATTTCAAAAAAATGTGGAAGTTTTCAAAGCGAATTGTTTCTTTTTTCAAACCGATACACCGACAATCAGATTATGATTCGCGAAAAAAAAATCCAAATCGTACCACACTGGAGGGATTTTTTTAAGATTCGGAGACTTGAAACTGTGTTGCCATAGCTATGAAAGGCATTTGTATGTTTATATTTCAATTCAACAGTTTCTGGATACAAATCTTGAATTGATATATTGTAGAATTCTAGAGGAATCAGGTTTCCTGTAAAAGGCAATTCTGTTTTGGGCGAACTGCTTTCAAGTTTATAATATTCATGTAATTTTAAATAGGTTAATCAACCAACTTTAAGAGGAACGGAAGATACTCGGAAAGAAATTTTCGTGTTCAAAATCCTCATTTTCTCTTTCAAACTGCTTTACGTACTATCCGAATCTAGAAAAACATATTTCACCTCACGATACTATACCTATTTCCATCTTATACACTAACCCGTGTGAGTCTGTTTCACACAACAGACACATTCCTCTCCAGGAACGGCTCTAAATTTTCATCCTCTGCTTTGGTTACAGTGTTGCCAAAAGCATGAAATTGTTCCGTCTCAAGGTATTTTAGTGTCAAGCATTCAGAATATTTTCAGACCACAACAAGTTACACTGCGTAATTATAGTAAATTTTTTTTGTAACAAAAAACATTATTAGGTAATTACATTTTTTTTTTTAATTTTTTCAATGAAAGTAAGGATATTTGTATGTATTTAATTTCCTGAACTCATTCATGAGATGGTATGATTGAAACGAATGTTTATGAGAAAAAAATGCATGAAAAATAATTGTGCGGTCTAAAAAGAGTATTTTCAGCATCCAGCTATGGAATTTCGAAGAAAGAGTTTGGCAACACTGGTTGTGGCATTCAGCGGGTCTCATATTGCCATTTTACAGCATTCACAGAAGACTAGCAATGTAAATTTAATGCAGACGCGAAACATATATTGTAAAGACCAGAACTAAAATGTAAAGCCAAAGCACAACTGCCTCGATGGCGCAAATTTTAAGCGTCTGATTCGTATGACTGATGATGACTGAGGTTCAGAGTTCGAATCCCAGTTCCAGACTCTCTTTTTTCTCTTTTTTCTCCTCAATCAATATTTTTAAACTAATTTTAATTGAGTTGTGAGGAATTTGGGATTTTTTCCCGTTCATAATACTTATTATTATCGCTTTTATCGATTTTCTAGTGGGAGTAGTTTTATTGAAGTTTCATTGATGTGTGCGTGAATATAAAATACCTTTTGAATAGGTGAAAATGGGTAGAATGAGTTGAAGAGAAAGAAACAAGTATATATTAAAGAGCAGGAGACGTTTATAAATGATCATCCAAGATCAATAAATTGTGAGTACTATTTTTGTATATTTCGTGAATCGTTCACAAATGCGTATTTCTCTGTCATAATTATGTTACCTACGTTTATACTGGGTGTCATTTTGAAAACGAGCAGCACTCAATATTGTCGAAAGGGACAACTTCTGAGGTATTTGTTGTTATATATTATTCAACCCCAAGACCGTCAGGGCAACTACCCTTAAGTTTTCTAATAGTTACCCCCTCATTAAGCTATTTTTGAAATTTTTATTTAATGCGAGATGAGCTTCATCTATACATAATTTTTCGTTTTTGAGATACAGGGCGAAATTGAAAATGTGCATTTTTGTACCCTCCTGTATCTTAGCTATATTTCTACTTATATAAAAAGTAAAAACTGTCTTTCATATATTCTTTCACTTGGAATCCAATGGCGTGGTCATATTTTCAAGATAAGCTGTTATTATTCATATACAGGGTGTCTCAAAATTGCTGGGACACAGAGCTACCACGTGTAGAGGAGGTCAAAATAGGTTAATTGGACCCAATTTATTTATGTGCCAAAATGTACCGTTTGTCCGTGAGAAGGGTTCAAAGTTCACTTGAAAAAACACATTTTTGTACTCTGTTCGAGAATGAGTGGAACGAATTCGATAAAATTTGGAAATAGTATATTCCAGAAGATTACTTTCCTTTTGATAATCTAAGAAACCTAAAAGAAATTGTGGAAGGGTTGAAACCACCCTCACCCCCTGACATTTTCTTCAGAACTTTTTTAAGGGTCATGATACGGTTCTAAAATTTTTTGATCTTGAAGACTCATCAATTACCTTCAGTTTATCACTCATGTAAAAATTTCGTATACCAAATAGTTTCGAAGAAAAAAAATGTTCTCTCAAATAATGCTACCAGATATTCCTATAGTACAAGTTTAATTAAATTGTGATATAAAACTTAGTTGGCAGTGGAAACGAAGGCAAGTCGTGATTTCGACAGGAAACAAGTTTATTGTCATTCAAGTTTGTTGTTGACGTTGTCTGTAAATGTTTCAATAAATTCTTCAATTTTGTTTTTACCGCGGGTACCATTACCGACCATTTATTATTATTATTTAATTGTTGTTGTAATTCCAACTGCTATCAAATATGGATTTCTCTTATAATGAGCAAACCGATATGATCTTAGTTTTCTCTGAAATACACTATTGCCAAATTTCATCAAATTCGTTCCACTTATTCCTGAACAGCGACAAAAATGTGTTTTTTCAAGTGAACTTTGAACCCTTCTCACGGACAAACGGT